AATAAAAGCAGGGGTACTAAGTGTTACACCCCATTAGGCGTCCCTTAAGACATTGAGGTGGGTTGGCAGTCAGCTATAGAAACCATGAATTTTATCAATCATGTCTCCACTGCATGGGTTATCTCCCGAACAACCAATGTCCTGTGCCTGCCCCATAGGGCTCCGGGAAAACCTGAAGAGGATTCTCTGGGTGGCTGTTCTCTCTAGTTATTCCAAAGATCTGGTCAGGGGATGGCTCCCAGACATTGCACTAGCTTTCCACAGAGCGGCTCCTTGAAGTGCCCTTCCTGGGGAAAGCATTCCAAGATGGCAGATTGACTGAGATGTGCTAACAGTGGCTCAGAAAGCTGCTGGCTGACAAAACCACTCTTTCTTCCCTTGGGCTTTTTGGAACGAGGGAGTCTGTCCGGGCAAATCTGCCAGGACCCGTCTCTGCTTCTGAGAAACGCAGAGCGAAATACAGCAGTGGAAGGGAATAGCATGCGCGGAACTTTCTCTGACTGCAGCCAGTGCCTAGATCTGCATTAGTGACGGAAGTCTTGCCAGCAATTCCGGGACATTTGAGATTTCCTAGCAGTGAAGAGAAAGAAACTCCCTAGCCAGCCTTGGCTTCCTCATGGATGTAAATCAGGGTGTCCGCTGTGTCCAAAGCTCAGTGCTAAGGAATCAGGAGGGCCACTGGTCACGTTTCTGATCAGAGCCTGGAGAACGGTCCCTCCACTCAAGTGGCAGTGTAATACAAACACAGGACAAAGGTGGGGTAACTTCGAGAGTAAGAAGCAAGTAACCAAAGCAAGAGAGTCTGCACAGGAACACGTGCAACCTGTGCACAGCTCCAGGAGGTAATAGAAACACACCTCAACTGTCACGCATCAGGACCTGCATACCTCTCGCCCTTTCTATAGTACAATTTGTGCCCCAAAGACTTCTGCCTATGGATTCAGCACCTAGCGGTGGAAGGGATAGTACCCCTCGGGGGATAGAAGATTTCCCACTGAGCAGCATTCTGATGTCATTCCTCTGTTCAGCAGGTTTAAAACAAACAAAAGGAAGTATTTCTTCACACAACACACAGTCAACCTGTGGAACTCCTTGCCAGCGGATGTTGTGAAGGCCAAGACCATAACAGGGTTCAAAAAAGAACTAGATACATTTATGGAGGATAGGCCCATCAATGGCTATTAGCCAGGATGGGCAGTGATGGCGTCCCTAGCCTCTGCTTGCCAGAAGCTAGGAATGGGCAACAGGGGATGGATCACTTGAGGATTCCCTGTTCTGTTCATTCCCTCTGGGGCACCTGGTATTGGTGACTGTTGGAAGACAGGATATTGAGCTAGATGGACCTTTGGTCTGACCCAGTGTGGCCATTCTTATTCTTATGTTCAGTGGCTCATGGGGAGGGGCAGGGGTGGGCAAATGCAGTGGAACTGAGTTACAAGTACTCCATTCAAGGACCTTGTTTTAATTCCTGGAGCCGTGGCACCTACAAGGGAGTCAGCACGTTCGAGGCAGCAGAGTTGGAGGCTGTGCGGAGAGCAGTGGGAGTGGGTCTGTGTGGTGTAGGCAGTGTGATGGCCACACGCCCCTGGGTTCAGAGTGTTTGTGTGCGATCTGTTTACACTGGAGGTTCACGGCTGTGACATCTCAGCTTGTGAGCGCCTTGGGCCTCATCAGCTCCCCAAGGCAAAGTCCAGGAGGCTTCCAAGGAACCCCAGGCTGCTGCCGGAAGTGGAGATGGGGAATAGACCCCACCCAGTTTTGTTTCGTGTAACACCTTGTAAACGGAATTGCACTGTGATCAGCCAACTATTGCAAATGAGGAGGGAGAGGAGCCTGGCTTGGAGACCCAGAGGCAGAAGGGAGTGGCTTGCAGGAGCGAATAATTCTGAAAACAAATGGAGAGAAAGCCAGACACCAATACGCCTGCCAATCAAACCAACCGTCGCCACCAACCAATGAAACTGAAAGAGACACTGGGAAAAGCCCAGAGAGAATCAGCGGCATCATGCTGCGGAATTCATGCCCACTGCTATTTATTTAAGAGCTGTGCATGAAATTCGCTCCCGTTCAGAAGGCCTGCATTATGTCTTTGCCTCATCTAAGTCCCGCCTGAACAGTGCACAGAGCCTTCTGGTCACCTTTGCAGAGGGTGAATTTCACCCTATATAAGACACTAGTATAGAAGTCAAGCAGCAATTAGCAAGGGCCGGGCAGATTCCTGCCAATACAGGACCTGCGCTTGCTGAACACAGCAAGATCTGACTTCTTATACCAGAGCCGTATCCTTGATAACCAAAGGGAGCCAACGCTTGAAAAGAGGAATCCAATTCACTATCGTCAGTCCTGTTTATTCTTTCACAATTGCCTCTTACAAAACCACGCCAAGTTAAATCATGAGGAAAGTTGCTGACATGACCGGTAATTTTGGAGTTTCGTCTGGAAAAAGGAGAACAGAATTTTGGCAAGACTGTGCTCGAAGGTTACAGAAATGCCAAAGTGGGTGCTCAGCAAACTCATCTACCCACACTGTTGTCTTGTGACATGTAAATTTACAAGGGAATAGCTTAGGCGCGAGATCCAATCAACTGAACCCTTGGGGGCATTTCAAACTAGATGGGACAGAACACTGGAGAGTAGGGAATGAATCCTGAACAAGCCCTAGGCAGACCGTGGATCTCATTGGACTTTTCCATCTATAGGCAGGCACACAAGAACTCAGCACAGAGACTTCCATGCCCCAATCAGTGAGCACCAGCAGGTGTGGAATGACCTTCACCTGCTGTGGGAAGTTAGAAACATACACTGACTTCCTGTAGGATGATGTCAACATCTTCCTGTTGCCTCCAGCTACCATTTTGCTCAAGACTTTTGCAGAGACTTAAATGGCTGGCCTTCACTTGCAACCACCTGGCCATTGAAAGCTGACCTGCTTCTCTTTCTTCACCCAACCACTCCCATTCCCCCATTTCTGGTTTTCTAACGTTCTAGTGCCCCTACCCCAAGACATTGCCTTCCTCTTAGACATCAGGCAGGTAGATGAGAGTACACGGAGACAGGTTCATTAGGGTCCAGCTCTGAGTTCCGCAGCAGTAAGTTAGAGACAGAAGAGAAGAGCAGATGTCAATACAGCCCAGAGCAGCTGTATGGGTCTCGGCTGGCTCATCGATAAGGGATGCAAGAGTATGAAGAAGACAAGAGTCCATCTTCTTGGAGGAAGTGTGTGTCTAGGAGAAAAGGGCCCTAGGCTGGGAGGAAGTGTCTGTGGGTTCTGTGGGGTCCCTCAAATTAGCTGGCGGAGCAAATGATCGACTTCATTAGCAATTCTGCTTGTTGCTCTGCTAATTCGTGGGGGTAATTCAGGCTAGTGAGGAAGCTGAATTCCATGCTGAATAATTAGAGGATGAAGGAGTGCTCCTCTCGAGACAGACAGGAGTGTGAGGAGTTCACAGGAGGTGGATTTGTGGAACTGCTCACTCTGCTGCTTTGATGAATCTTGGATTCCTAGGGATGGTCTTTAACCCATTTGTGAAAAGGCTGTAAATAGATCTGTCAGAATTATCACTGTACGCAGCATTGTTATATCTGTGTTAGGTTCCCAGCCCTGAAGAAGAGCTCTGGGGAAGCTGGAAAGCTTCTTTCTCTCACAGACAGAAGTTGGCCCAGTAAAAGATACGACCTCACCCACCTTGTCTCTAGAATATCGCTGTCTGTTTCACTGAACAGAGGAATGACATCAGACCAGACCAATGGCGCATCTGCTCTCATATGTATTTTATACAGGTTCTTATTCTGCGCCCAGCCCCATGGGATCTGAGTGCACACCCCACCACCGGCAAAGGTTTATACTGGATGAACACAGCACGGCCAAACAACTGCAGAGGACGCCTGCCCCACGGTGCAATGCTATGGCCTGGGGGACTTGGTTTATGGCATGGCGATCTATTGAATGGCTTTGAAGGTGCTCAGCATCTAGATGCCCAGACTCGTTAGCCACAATTACATTTCCACCATAGCTCAAACTCAGGTAACAGCAAATACTATTAACAGACACAAACCTATTCAGTCCTTTACAAAAACGTTCTGACACCAGTAGTCTCCATGGCCGGCTGTAGCGGTGAGTCCCACAGGTTGGCCATGCCAGCAGTCGTGCACGGACCATAAATGTACTCCCTTTCCGTTTCACGGCCTGGTTCCTTGCTCACACATTACAGGGGAGCTTAGACCGAATCACCTGGCTGGGGTTCAATATTGTGAACACCTTAGTCAAGACACTTCTTACTCTCCTCTTTTAGGGTAAAACATCAAAATCAAGATAACAATGTGTCTTTCACAAGACCCCCTGCTAAGCATCTCTGAACTGTTTCTTAGCATCTCCTTTACCGCTCTTGCTTGGGAACCCGACACTCCCCCAGCAGACACACCGTCATGTTATAAACGGCTTGATAATACCTCCGTCCACTGGTAACACATCCGAGCACCCTGTTTTGTACTCTAGCTTCTGCACACTGGCCAGGCCATTGCATCAGACTCCCGAAAGGTGCCTCTTTGCTCCTTTCACCCTCGTGGCACCTACTCATTCAGACCCTTCCAGCACAGGGGAGACGGTTAGATCATTCCTCCTCATCATGCAGCTCTCCAAATCAAATTGCAGCTGCCCAATCATTCTCCCTCCCCCCCACCCGCCCCCAATTTGATTAGGTCCCTGTGGAGCTTCCGACCTAAAATAGCCATGTCCCCGTCAGCAAGTTTCAGTGCTGATTGTGGGGTTAGGCGTCAGGAGCCCTGGGCTGCCGGCACCAATTTATTGTGAAATTGTTTAAGGGCGTAAAAGAGCTCTTTAAGGATTAGTTATGTAAAATACCCTGACACATCTAATGGAGGACATGGGGTTTGCAGAGGAAGTCAGAGGGGGGAGGAGGGTGGGAAGGGCAGCTCAGCTGAGTCCACCCCATCCTTGTCCCTTTGGTCCAACGTCAATATCTTCAAGTGGGGACCGGTACCTTCTGATTGGCGCTGTCCTCCTTGGGTCTGCTTCTCTCTCCTTGAACTGCCTGGGCCGGGTATTAAAGACAGGATCAAACTACGCAGGGTTCACTGACTGCATCACCGAGTGCCACATGGAATCAGCTCTCCCCTCAGGCTGCAACGAAGCTCCGGGGAGGTTCGGCCCGTCGAAGGAGAGAAGCCATGCAGCACCGTGCGAAGAGTCGGTTAAGGTTTATCTTGCACCTTCTGATGTTGTACCTTCTCCAGGGGGAAAATCATTCCATGGCCCTTCAGCAGAGAGACATACACATACATGGATACACACAGTGCCTTTCCAATCTGATCTTAAGGCAAGAGAAAAAAAGCCACACCAAAATCTTAGGATGGGGTTTTTGGCCGGGTTCCCTCTTAAAGCAACATCTGGAAGTAACACAGTGATCTAGCAAAATTGGCAGGAGTCCTGCCGGTGACCCAATCCGAGACAGAAATCAGCTGGGCCTCATGTATTGTTGCCAAAAATGTGACATACTCTGAGTTCTGTTTGATGGTGGCTTATAGGGTCCAAAGGCCTCCACAGCGGAGCCCCTTCCTCCCCTGATGTGGTTAGAGCGAGGTTGGAGAGGAATGTGTACAGCGTCTCTAATCTGGCTAGAATTAGGCCATTAATCTCTGATCCCAGTGTGTGAGGCTGCCATCCCTCTTTGGTAGTCTCCTTACCGTCCCGTCTCTTTCCAAGGCACTAAGTCGCTTCCCCTCTTGAAATTTGACTTCAAAAAGTTTCCTCTGCTACCCCTCCTTCAGATCGACTTTCTCACATGACTTTTCTGGTTGTCATTATTTAGCGTTTGTACTATGGTAGTGCCCCCAGGCACCCGCGGGCATGTCTGTACAGCAGCTGGGAGCAAGTCTCCCAGCTTCTCGCCACAGACTTGCGTGAGTGGGGCTTGCGCTAAAAATAGCTGTGCGGATCTTGCTTTGACGTTGCGACTGGGGCTGGGGCTCGGGCTCTCACCCATCCCCTTCTCCTCCCTGCCCCAGGGCTGAGAGGCCGAGCTCCAGCCCAAGACGAAACATCTGCACATCTGCATCCTCCCAGATGCAGTGTGGACATACCCAGTAAGCATCCATTCTGCAAGGCATTGCACAAACACAGAGCGCTTGCCATTCTAACCCAGTGGGCTATCTTGCCTTTATTACATTCGCTGTTCTGCATTACTGTGACTGGGGTCCCAGTGGAGAGTCAGCCGAGGTCACTCAACTAGGGTGAACTGCAAAGAATGGGGCAGACAAACCCCAAAGCTGATGGATAATTCAATACTTAAATGTACCAAGGCAGCATAAAACAGCTTCTCTATTACTGCACTGGTTACTCAGAAGTCCAAAACAATACAGGTCCCTTAAAGTGACCCAGCCTCATGCCTCCATCCAGGTACCCAAGTCAAATATGATGATTTCTGAAAAATTTATTCCATCATATAAAAGAAAAGGTCCTATCAATCCCAAAGGCTCAGACACATTACTTCCCAAGTTATTGAATATTCCAGATCTTACCCAAATACACGCATACAGCAAATTCTTATCAACTAAACTAAACTTTATTAAAAAACAAAAGAGAGACAGTATGGTTAAAAGACCAATATACATTTAGACATGAGTTCAATTCTTGAGATTCAGATTCATAGCAGAGATGGTGAGCTTTGTAGTTGCAAACAGGATGTTAGGAATCATTAAAAAAGGGATGGAGAATAAGACAGAGAATATCTTATTGGCCTTATATAAATACATGGTACATCCACATCTTGAATACTGCGTACAGATGTGGTCTCCACATCTCAATAAAGATATACTGGCATTAGAAAAGTTTCAGAGAAGGGCAACTAAAATGATTAGGGGTTTTGAACGGGTCCCATATGAGGAGAGATTAAAGAGACTAGGACTTTTCAGCTTGGAAAAGAGGAGACTAAGGGGGAATATGATAGAGGTCTATAAAATCATGAGTAGTGTGGAGAAAGTGAATAAGAAAAAGTTATTTACTTGTTCCCATAATATAAGAACTAGGGGCAACCAAATGAAATTAATGGGTAGCAGGTTTAAAACAAATAAAAAGGAAGTTCTTCTTCACTCAGTGCACAGTCAACCTGTGGAACTCCTTGCCTGAGGAATCATAGAATATCATGGTTGGAAGGGACCTCAGGAGGTCATCTAGTCCAACCCCCTACTCAAAGGAGGACCAATCCCCAACTAAATCATGCCAGACAGGGCTTTGTCAAGCCTGACCTTAAAAACTTTATTCCACCACCTCCCTAGGTAATGCATTCCAGTGTTTCACCACCCTCCTAGTGAAAAAGTTTTTCCTAATATCCAACCTAAACTTCCCCCACTGCAACTTGAGACCATTACTCCTCATTCTGTCATCTGCTACCACTGAGAACAGTCTAGATCCATCCTCTTTGGAACCCCCTTTCAGGTAGTTGAAAGCAGCTATCAAATCCCCCCTCATTCTTCTCTTCCGCAGACTAAACAATCCCAGTTCCCACAGCCTCTCCTCATAAGTCATGTGTTCCAATCTCCTAATCATTTTTGTTGCCCTCCACTGGACGCTTTCCAATTTTTCCACATCCTTCTTGCAGTGTGGGGCCCAAAACTGGACACAGTAATACAGATGAGGCCTCACCAATGTTGAATAGAGGGGAACGATTACGTCCCTCGATCTGCTGGCAATGCCCCTACTTATACATCCCAAAATGCCATTGGCCTTCTTGGCAACAAGGGCACACTGTTGACTCATATCCAGCTTCTCGTCCACTGTAATCCCTAGGTCCTTTTCTGCAGAACTGCTGCCGAGCCATTTGACCCCTAGTCTGTAGCGGTGCATGGGATTCTTCTGTCCTAAGTGCAGGACTCTGCACTTGTCCTTGTTGAACCTCATCAGATTTCTTTTGGCCCAGTCCTCTAATTTGTCAAGGTCCCTCTGTATCCTATCCCTAACCTCCAGCATATCTATCTCTCCTCCCAGTTTAGGAGGTTGTGAAGGTTAGGACTATAACAGGGTTTAAAAGAGAACTGGATAAATTCCTCGAGGTTAAGTCCATTAATGGCTATTAGTCAGGATGGGTGAGGAATGGTGTCCCTAGTCTCTGTTTGTCAGAGGGTGGAGATGGATGGCAGGAGAGAGATGACTTGATCACTACTTGTTAGGTTCACTCCCTCTGGGGCACCTGGCATTGGTCACTGTCGGCAGACAGGATATTGGGCTGGATGGACCTTTGGTCTGACCCAGTATGGCCATTCTTATGTTCTTATGTTCAAAGAGTTCTTTCAGAAATAGTTCATAGGTTATAGTCCAATGTCCAATATCATATTCAAGGTGTACCAGCATAACTGGGATCTCATCTTGCAACTCAGACTTCCCCTGATGAAGTTTAAGCAGATCTGAGATGAACAGAATCAGGACCCAAGGATCCTTTATACAATTTCATGTCCTCTTTGACAAATTGGAGTTCCTCAGGGAACAAAAGGTAATTAGGAGGACTTTGAAGGAGGTCCATCAGTACTTAGCTATATGAATTAACATAAGGCATTTGGCTTGTTCCTCCACCATTCACAGATGATTTGCTATACATTTCAAAGAGAGATGAATACTGAGATATCCCGTGTTTACAATGCATTTAAATGCTAGGATTTTTTTTGATCTCTGAATTATCAGAATACAGCATAGACAGGGACTGTTGATTTCAGTGTCGACCATTACCCATATACATGTAAATGTGCAAAAACCACAAACATTATTTCCCGTCATGACTTTAAGGGTTGAATGTGAGTCATTCATCCTGCAGGATGTTTAAGGCTTTCAGGCCATGTGTTACAGTTATATTCTGCTTTTATTATATTCAGCAGTAACGCAAAGAACCGATAGGCCCGTATCCTGTAAGACATTGGCTTCAGCAGTTACCGTAAGGCTTGAGGCCTACGAACTTCGAACACAAACTTTCCGCAGATAAACAGCCCAACAGAAACCCCAAGTATTGGGGAGCAGAAAATAGAGTGTTTAAGGGAAATTTCTGACCACAGGAACATGCTCCAACCCCAAGAGTGTCATGGCAACAAGTTGACATATATAACAAGTACATGTGCCACATCCTCTGACACCTAACCACAACGGGGCCATAGTATTGAATTGACATATGTGATAAGTTGAGATCATTAATATACTAATCTATAGAAGAAAGACACTCCAACCTTAGTAAGGTGAGGAAATACAAATGAGGAAAAGGGGAACATCTCCTACTGAATATGCATCAAACATCGTGGTGTCAGCGTAACATCGTATAAGAGTTGCATCCCAGCCTTGGGGTGGTAGGAGAAGGAGATGCAGTCCTTGGGAGGTGTCAAAATTATGCCACTGGTGATGGGGGAGATGATGGCTCCCATTTCAGCTTGTTCTGCAAGGCATGCTGTGAGTATATGGATCCATTCTGTAGTATCTCGATCTACCTTCCTGAGTTGGGGCAGTTGTGACTGTGCTAAATGTATTAATTAACTATGTGTAAATATAGAGGAGTTCCTACAGTGAGAGTGTTGCAAATGTGCACATCGGGGTTCCCAACTATAGAATCATTTAAATATACTGGGCCTGATCTTGGGAGAAGAACTTGTTACCCTCAAAGTGATGACTGGGGATTCAATATAATTAACACATCATCTATATGTAACCCTTCTGCCCGTCAGAGTTGGCAGCAACCAGGGCCGAGTTTGGTATCTAGGGGTTCCATTCCAATAACACAATGCAAAACCGGCTCGAGCCCCCACCCAGTGACCTGGGACAAATATATACCACCCCCGCTGGGTGCCTCCAAGAGGCAATACTTCCCCTCTCGCAAGCACAGAGTCTGAGTGTAGCAAAAAGCCTTTTAACAACAGGAGAGAAACAATGTGGCATTATGTTGGGGAAACACCACCAACAGGATTCATAACACAACCCATGAGCAAAAAACCCACCCCAAGCAAATGGGGGCATGTCCTTTCCCTTTGGTTCTTGAGGCCAGCAACCCAAAATCACCCATAGTCCCAAAAGTCCAACGACCCAAAAGTCTCTGTCCCTGGTCAGGGCAGCCCCAGAGTTTGAAAGTTTATCTGCAGAGTTTTACCTCCCAACCTGGGTGGAGATGGGGGGAGGGAGGGCTAAGGGGCACTTTACATGGTCCAAAGCTGATTGCCCCACCTCTCCATGGGGATCCGCTCTGCCAGCCACCCCGCAAACTACTCCGCAGC